ACCTCGCTTCCCTAGTTGGCTACCTCTGAAACGACTGTATGGGCTTCCCGCCCACTGCCATCCTAAGGGCAGATGAGGAGAGGCAGAGAAGCAGGAAGGGCCCAAAAAACCCAACTGTCCCAAGAGAAAGGAAACAAGAGACCTCTGCCCAATGGAATTCTCCCAAAGCTAACAGAAGAGGAATGTAAGCCTGTATTTTCAAGTGGACCATGAGGACTGCAGACCAAATGCCAGGCATCACAGGTCAGGTAGACTCTAGGTTGGACTAAAAAGCCAGGAGACCTGGGAAATGGCCATTTGAGGCCCTGCCCTTGGCCAATCCCCAAGAGGGCATGGGCTCAGATACCTGCAGCTGGACTCTGCTGTCTGTGGGCATGGTGACCGTCTGTGACCCTATGGTGACAGTGTATCCTATGACCATAGGAAAGCCAACAGCACAGAGGGACATAATCCTTGGTCTGCTGTTATGTGTGACATGCCCACCAAGACTGAATGGAAACAGCACTTGGTGCTTCCCCGTTAGCTAGGAATAGAGTAACCGAGCTGTGTGTGATACAGGCAGGTGTTAACTCCTGTTCTGACCCCATTACATTTCATCATGAAAACGCCCAGGACCAAATCTGTGCATTCGAGTGCAGACTACAGGAGCATCACTAAAAGTAGATAAGGAAAGACATGCAAAAATTGCCTGAAATTTTGCCACAAACGCAACTGAATTTAAAGAGGTACATAAATATTTACAAAACGGGAGTGGTGTATTAATGCAGGCTGACAAGAGACCTTTTGCCCCTCGGTTCAATTTCATAAAAACTCTTTTGGTATTAATAATAACTGAAAACAAAGGTCAAAGAGGCAATGGCAAGAAAGGGAGAGGGAATATCGCACTTCTCCCTGATTGAAAATTCTGTAATCTCTAACAATAAACTAAGGCAGCTTTATAAATTAGCTGGCTCAGTTTCCACTGCAGGGTATACATAATCCTCTGAGATTAGGCAACAGGTTCTTAAATTTTTAGTACAAAAATCATTCATGAGTTGGTTAAAAAGTTTCCATTTCCTTTTTGAAAAATCTGTTCTTAATAAAGAAGGTGGGGGGGGGGAATACACCGCATGTAAACACCATTCTTGTATAAAATCCTGCTCCAAAGAACCATGGTTTGTACATTAAAAAAAAAGAAAAAAGAATCCTCCCTCATTTACATTCACAACTTCCATTAGAAAACCCTGCCGTGTGGCGATGAACAGAAAGGTCAAGTTCACATCCAGCTTGGTGTCATCCAGCTTGGCGTCTTCTGACCACATTGCCCGCCCCACCGCACGCCTCCTCCTCTGGGAAAGAACCGCTGGCTGCATAGTAATGGCACCAAGAGACCACGGTGCTGGGGCTTGTCGGTTTGCACAAGTGAAATGTTCACACACATCTCGGCTCTGCGAAGGACCTGTCAGTGCAGCCTCCACACCAGGCGGACGATGTAACGCAACAGTCGTAATATAACCATTTGAGGGTGGTCTTCGGCTGCTTGGTAATTATGCAAAAATACCTGAAAAAGCAAAACGAAATCTGCTTAATTTCTAATTTTTTTTTTTTTAAGTGAGAATGACCAATCCCATCTTAATTGCTGTAGAAGGTACCCCTTAAAAAGAGCCGTGTGTTGTTGAAGTGCCTCAGACTAAGGGAACCTGCTTCCATTTCCCCTGCAAAGGAAAGATTCAGTACGTTGAGGGCAGGCATACCAAATGATTTTTTCCCTTAAAAGTAGAAAGAAAGAAAAAAAAGAAAGGCAACCAAAAGAACATTTGGGGAATGTATAGAGGATCCCCTCCAGCATACGTATGGTGCTGGGGAACTGCCACCCTCAGCTGCCGGAGCTGCTGAGCCGGGACAGAAGGTGGGGTGGGGATGGAAAGAAGCAAAGGCTGCCCTTGGTAGACGTGAAGGAACCACCTTACCGCCCAAGTCAGCTGGCATTCAAATATGTTCCAGACTGCCCCCAAGGGTGAATTTCTGGTAGCTGTAATGTATTTGAGAAACCAGTGATTTGGGGTGATCTTGCCCTAAGACGCTAAATAAAGTGGTACAGCAATGCACCACTGCACCTCTGGCTGCCCAGCCGAGATAAACACTGGGCCCCAGCGGGGTGCTCATATTCACAGATACAAGGCTTCCAAGTGCATTCTCACCCTCCCATACTCCAGCATGGGAGAAAAGACAAACTGAGAACAACAACAACAAAAGCCTCCTTGCTGGTGACCACCCTATGTGGGTTCCAATCCATCTTTGGGTTAAGTGCCAGGTGTAAATACAGAATAGCCAAGGAAGGCAGCAGAACACATCTATCTGCTCCAGCACCGTGAGAGCTACAACCTGTTTTACTGCACGAGTCCAAAATCTGCCTGGGTCATTTCCTTAATGACTAATCCACACCTAGGACCAGGCTTCGTGACTATCTACAGCTCTGCATGAAGTCCTTTCTTGTTCTGGTCAGGACACTTCCAACACACCATTGTAGTAGCCACTGACCATGAAACAGGCTGAGATTCCTTCTCAGACCCCGAACAGCCCCCACAGACACCAGCTGCAGTCGGCGCTCCCTTCTCGCCACTGTTTACACAAGCTCTCAAGCGCCTGTTTGACAGAATGGGATTGTGATAAGGCCAGGGCATTTCCCCTTTTCCTTCCATAACAAGATTGGAGGAAATCGGCTTTATATAAGCGATTCCTGCAGAGGCACTCCGTAACCACAGTCTGTGATTTTTATCTGTTTGACATACAAGATTGCTTTGTTTTGATTTAACTTTCAAAATCACTTTGCTGTTTCTGTGTGAGAATAATTTAGGGGAAGGTTAATTTTAGTGTAGACTAATATTAATAGGTTGAAAGAGGCTTATTCAAAATAAAACCACGACTTACTAAAATGAAGAAAGCGTGTGCTATGATGGGCTAAGTCATTGATCCAAGGTGGGAAGCCTAATGCCAACCTGGTGTCATTGCTGTCCTCAGTGTGGCCAGAGAATAGGGTTGACGGGGTACATATAGTCAAAGTGATACCCATGAGGGGACTGGGTCACATGAAGGACAGACCCCAACAGCTTACGCTTGGTGAGTTTCATGTTCTAGTACTGGCAGCTTATGTGGGCAGAAGGCTTCCACCCACCCTCTGAGGGCAGCAGGTGGCTGGGACTAAGGGTAAGTCGAAGTCGTCTCACAGGAGAATTTTAGCAAGCTTCTCAGAGGTTTGCTTTCTTCTCGACTATAGAGGATTCAGAGGTAGTATTCAATAACAGACAGAGAAGGGTGGGGGAGAAGAGAAGAAATTTTGGCAAAAACAATGCCCAATCCCTACCTAATGAGAAGATGCCACAGCTGTCTGGGGCCGCTGGGACGCCTGCCCTCTCAGACACAGGCATGACAACAAGGCTCATGCTGTTAAGCCGACGAGCAATTGCTTTTGGACAGCATTCAGTGGGGGAAGCCATTACCACTGATTCAAAGAGCTGTGCCAGCCCCAAAAGCCCTGACAGCTGGCACAGCCGGTGGGGCTGCTGCTGGCTTGGAGTGTGCAGCCCGTATTGCAGAAGGCAGCTGGAGGACAGGCAGCTCCTACTTCCGGCAGATGCACTGCCCTCTAATTCCTGCAGCCATAAAAATTGGCATGGCTTATCGTCGGGGTGTGATGACATTCAACTGGGGCAGGCGGCCGAGAGCCGTGTAGGGTGAGGATGCAGAACCCAGCACTTAGCACCCTGAGGGTCACCGACAGTGCAACTAGCTTGAGCGAGAGATCTCCCTGCGATCCAGACAGGAGAGGCACTACTACTACAATTCACCTCCTACACCAGAGCCTTTTGGGGTGGTGTGAGCGGTTAGGAGAAAGTTCAAAGCAATTAGAGAAAGTCCCTTAAGATGAAGTGCACTGGTGAGAGGCCAAAGTCAGTTCATACCCCGTGGGTTCAGGCCAGAGAAGCACATCCAAGACAGAGTTTAAAAATGACAAATTGCTGCATTGTGGGGCGGTCATCAGTTACACGCAAGTGTGACAGTAAGGCTGAGCCAAGTGCTATAATCTGCAGTGCTGAAGTGGGGCTAAGACAATAAATGCAGCAGAGCAGCAGCAGGGACACCTGGCCCTCCCTCCTGAGACCTGCTGTGTCTGCGGGGCTGCCCCACCAGTGTCCCGGGAGCCTGCATCTGCTCCGGTGGTTCTTAATCAGGTGGAAGACGCATCTGGGTATCAATGGTGCACTTAAGTTCTGCCACCCCAAAAGGGCAATATCCAAAAGGCAGACTGCCTTCCCTGATTTTTCTTTATGGCTGTGTTTAATGTCTTCCTCCGGAAAGGCAGTCTAGCTCTCACCTAATGGGTACAACGTATGGGTGTATGGCGCACCTTCTGGGTGAAGGGCTCAACTACAGCTTGCACTTCACCTAACAAACACAATGTAGCCTAATTATACGCACCTTGTATTAATACGAAATTTAAAAAAAATTAACACAACTAAAATGAATATCATCAGGAAAGAAGTTCCATCTCCCCCCTGAAACCTCTGAATGTTCTCTGTGAGGTGCTCAACTGTGCCCCCCCAAATCACACACTGCAGTCCCGAGCCCAGTACTTCTGAATGCAACTGTACTCAGAGATGGGTCTTTAGAAGCATAGTAAGGGAACACGAGGTCACTGGGGTGGGCCCTAACCCAAGGTGTCCCTGTAAGAAGAAACGATTAGGACTCAGACACACATAGAGCAGAGACCACGTGAGGACACTGGGAGAAGGTGGTCAAGGAGAGTGGCCTCAGGAGACCCAACCCTGCCCACGCCTGATCGCAGGCTTCCAGACTCCACAGCTGCAAGAAGGTGAGTTTCTGTCACTGAGTCCTGAGTCTAGGCTGCTGTGGGTAGCAGACCTCACAGACCAACATGCCCTTTCATTCCTGCCTGCCTAGCATTCATCCACGCCTGTCTATCATCAAGTCTTTCACTAGCACTTCTTAGATCAGACTTGGGTAACTCCATTTTAGTCTAAATTGCAAAAATACTTTTAAAAGATACATTACAATGACTCATTTGGATGCAGAAAATTATTTTTAAAAACCAAATTTGCAACTGAGTGCAACTCATATAACCATGACATAAACACAGCTCTCCCCTTGCTCACAGGCACACAACCTCACCAGTGCCAGAAGGGGAGGGCCCCACTCTGCTAGGCACCTTCACCTCAATGGCCTCAATCAGGAGCTACATGAGGGGGGCCATCCCACGTGTCCACAGACGATCCTCCAGCCTTCACAGCTCTGTGTCTCCTTCTAGGAGCTGGTTCCTGACCGTCCCTGCCCCTCTCTGGGCAGGGGCTCTGACAGCCATGCTGCCAGCTTGCACGACCAGGGCCGGACTCCATAGCCTATGTCTGTGTACCTAACTAGGTCTGGCAGGCAGGGGCTGTCACCAGCACAAGATGGCAAACAAGCTTAATATGGCTGAGACATACAGAGGCAAATAAAATGACAGAAAAAGAAGCACTGGCCAGAGAGGTGGGTGGGGGCACCAGGGCAGGGAAGCACCAAGACTAATCCCTGTATTGAGCTTAGAAGGAAGAAGAGAATGACTCAGGAGGACAAGAGGACAAGAGGTGGAAGGACCCTGCAACACCACAACCTGAACAAGGTTGGCAGCCCCAGAACACTGCACCTGAGAGGGGCAGACAGCTCAGCAACAGGTAGCATCGGAGTTCTCACAAACCAGAGTAAGAAATTACACCAAGTCACAGGATTGCTCCCACAGATGATTCCCCTCAAAGTTGAAAGATGTAGGACTCAGTCTCCAGTTGCCCTGATAAAGATTCAGGTACTCTTTTCCAAAGATCAGAAGATGCCCTTTGAGATGGAGTCTAGAGCATGTGGCAAGGAATTCTGGAATAGTTCCTGATACATTCATATGACACCAGACGACACAGACTCGCCTGGGTGTCAGCTGGGGAGGGGCCATGCCAAGGGAAAGTCCCAGCCTGGGGTTCCTGCTGACTCACCAGGGGCTGGAGCAGCCCACACGTAACAAGGAACTCCAAGTGCAGGAGGGGAACACGGACTCTAAACCAGCAGTTCTCAACCAGTGGGTCGCGACCCACAGGAACTGTATTAAAGAGCCACGGCACTAGGAAGGTTGAGAACCACTGCTTGAAACCATGACTGCTGACATGAGCTATGCCACATGGGGCTGAGGATGGGGCTGCAGGGTGACTAAGCATGGCCATAAGCCACTACCACAGCCATAGCACTGGGACCATCCATTTATGGTTGGGGCCATCAGTCAAGTATTGGGAAATTTAATCACATTTTAGTGCCCAAACAATCATAGCAAAAACATAATCTCTTGCTCCATTCAGGGAAGCAGGTGCTTAGGAAACAAAAGAGGCCTTGACCCCAGGGAACTGATTGGGCTGGCCTCCAGGACGCAGAAGGCAGCTCTGGACTTGGCTTCACTCTCCTGCAGGCAGAGATGAGTCTGGCCTCTACGAGGCAGCCCAGAACACACCAGGCTGTTGAATT